CTTCCGGCTTTTTTTCTTTTTGCTTATGTGGTGCTGAGGAATCAAACCCAGGGCCTCAGGCATGCAAGGCAAGCGCTCTACCACTGAGCCACCTTCCCTGCCCCATAGTTTTTTGTGTTTTTTTTTTTTTTTTGGTTGGTCAGGGGGCTTGAACTCTGGGCTTGGGAACTGTCGCTGTGCAATTCAGCTCAAGGCGAGCGCTCTACCACTTGAGCTACAGCACCACTGACAGTTTTTCTAATACAAAGTGAAAAGGGATTTTGGACTAAGTAATTGATTGTAATACATTCTACCAAATTACAACTAATAATTTCCAAAATAAATGCTCTCTTTTTTTGGTAGGTCCTGGGGCTTGAACTCTGGGCCTGGGTGCTGTCCCTCAGCAATTCAGCTCAAGGCTAGTGCTCTACCACTTGAGCCACAGTACCACTTCCTGTTTTCTGAGTGGCTTAGTGGGGATAAGAATTTCACAGAGGGCTGGGAAGGTGGCTCAGTAGTAGAGTGCTTGCCTTGCATGCATGAGGTCCTGGGTTCGATTCCTCAGCACCACATAAGCAGGGTGAAAAAAAGCTGGAAGTGGCGCTGTGGCTCAAGTGGTAGAGTGCTAGCCTTGAGCTGAAGAGCTGAGGGACAGCACCCAGACCCAGAGTTCAGGCCCCACGACCGGACCAAAAAAAAAAAAAAAAGAGTTTCACAGACTTTTCCTGCCTAGGCTGGCTTTGAACTGTGATCCCCAGATCTCAGCCTCCTGATTAGCTAGGATTACAGACGTGAGCCACCGGCACCTGGCTCATTTTACATATCTTAGACACAATGAAAATGCTGTCAGTCTAAACCAAAAGCAATCTTGACAGTCTACCATCCAACAGAGACAATGTATGAAACAGCCAGCCAACTAAGTAGTTCCTGGCTTCAGAATTCATTCATGGTTATTTTACTATTGATATATACTGGTAAATAACACCATAAAGGGGCTGGGAAGGTGGCTCAGTGGTAGAGCGCCTGCCTTGCATGCATGAGACCCTGGGTTCAATTCCTCAGCACCACATAAGCAAAAAGAAAAAAGCCAGAAGTTGCGCTGTGGCTCAAGTGGTAGAGCGCTAGCCTTGAGCTGAAGAGCTGAGGGACAGCGCCCAGGCCCAGAGTTCAGGCCCCACGACTGGACCCAAAAATAAAAAAAAAAATAAAAAAAAATAACACCATGAAAAGCAGCATACTAAGTAATGATTCATTTTGCATCACTTCTGAAAGTGGAAGGAAAATATATGAGAATTTATGTGTTACCTAAAGTGGTTTCTTACTAGCTGGTCTATAGCTGTAAAAAAAAAAAAAGCTGTGTCTGTAATCTCTTACGAAAATTATACTGCTTCAATACTTCTTTTTTTTTTTTTTGGTCGGTCGTGGGGCTTGAACTCTGGGCCTGGGCGCTGTCCCTCAGCTCTTCAGCTCAAGGCAAGCACTCTACCACTTGAGCTACAGCGCCACTTCCGGTTTTTTGTGGTTTATTGGAGATAGGAGTCTCACAGTCTCTCCTGCCCGGGCTGGCTTTGAACCGCGATCCTCAGATCTCAGCCTCCTGAATAGTTAGGATTACAGGCGTGAGCCACCAGCGCCCGGCTGCTTCAGTACTTCTTTGTACTACATACTTGCCAATGTGTTCATTTATACCAAAAACTCAATGTTAAAATTCCATTTCTGAACAAGTTCAAAAGGATATGTCCAACTTTTTAATTGGTCAGCAGTATAGAAAAGTCCCATGATTTGATTAGGAATTTTAAGAGTCAAGTGTAAGAGAACAATGTTTATATTTTGGTGATATTCTTAAAATCACATGTGTAATAGAAGCCCAAATGAATTTCAAATCTCAAGTCTGTCTTTAAGTGACTATGTAAATTTTAATTAATTCTTCAGATTTTCAGTCTGTTTCATTCTCCACAAATTGATCTTAAAGGATATCTTGGAATAATTTCATGGAGCACATGAAAAAGTACATTGTTGGGCAGGGAATGTAGCTTAGTGGTTAAGTGTTTGCCTAGCATGCATGAGGCCCTAGGTTCAATTCCTTGGTACCACATAAGATTGATAAAATAAAAGGAAAAATAACCATTAAAATTATTTTTTTTAAAAAGTACATTATTAATCTCAAAACAAAAGATAAATGTTAGCAAGAATTGTATATCTGACTGAAGGTATAAATAATACCCAAGTACAATTTAACAATTTTATTTTATTTTAGGAGTTTGAAGTTGTATCTTTGATCAAGGCTTTTTCATATACAGGTAATCCTTCAATTTTAATATTAGAACAAGTGGAAAACATTACTTGGTTTTTCCAATTTTTAAAAATGCCACCAAGACACTGCTTATATTAATATCCTTTTGTTAGCAAAATACAAATGTTTGTTTTATTTTTTTATTTTTTATTTTTTTGGGTCTGGTCATGGGGCCTGAACTCTGGGCCTGGGTGCTGTCCCTCAGCTCTTCAGCTCAAGTCTAGTGCTCTACCACTTGAGCCACAGTGCCACTTCCAGCTTTTTTTTTTCTTTTTGCTTATATGGTGCTGAGGAATTGAACCCAGGGCCTCATGCATGCAAGGCAAGCGCTCTACCACTGAGCCACCTTCCCAGCCCCCTTGTTTTATTTTTTGAGAAGTCAAATAGAATCTTTGAAATTCACTTCTAAAGTCTACTCTAGAGAACTTTAACCAAAGATGACATAATTGATCTCTATTTAGGAGCAGATGACATGCAGATGTCAGATTATTATGACTTTACTATCTAGAAAAGAGCTTGAAAAGCAAAAAGGAAATAGCTGGTAAGTAGCAAAAATCGGACTTTATTTATGGAAGCCAATTTAGGCCAATCAAGGCCAATTTAGATACATTTCTGCTGCTTTATGTAGTCACAGCTTAAGGCAGGGAAGTAAGTTCTGTTGACGTTCTTATATACCACACTGTTTACAACCTAATTCTAAGTCTTAAAGCCTCAACTACAGTATATGCATATATCAGGCTATGAATGACCTACTGAGCTATTATTTCCCAGGACCAAAGAACATTTTTGTTGGTGGTGGTGGTGGTGGTGAGGCTTGAACTCTGGGCCTGGGCGCTGTCCCTCAGCTCTTTAGCTCAAGACAAGTGCTCTACCACTTGAGCCACAGCACCACTTCTGGTTTTCTGGTGGCTAATTGGAGATAAGAATCTCACTAACACCGGGCACTGGGGGCTCACGCCCGGGCAAGGAAAGTCGGTGAGACTCTTATCTCCAATAAATCACTAGAAACCCGTAAGTGGCACTGTGGCTCAAGCGATAGAGCACTCGCCTTGAGCTGAAGAGCGCAGGGACAGCAACCAAGCCCAGAGTTCAAGCCCCACGACCTACCAAAAAAAAAAAAAAAAAGAGTCTCACTAACTTTCCTGTCCTGGCTGGCTTTCAACCATGATCCTCAGATCTCAGCCTCCTGAGTAGCTAGGATTATAGGTGTGAGCCACCAGAGCCCGGCTTACATTTTATTTTTTTTAACCTTTGTTATTCTTATTCCCACTAAGAAAATTATAAAATTTTAATACATGAAATAAACAATAATAAACAAGAAGAAAGTTCCTAAAGCAAAATATTTTCTATTAATTCCAATTACGAGGAGCAGCCCATGGTATTTTTTTATCTCAACCCCTGTCACCATTCCACAGAATAGTAATACAGCATTATCTGCACTTCAGAGAATGGTGTAATTTCAACAAAATCCATAAATTATTTGACCATTGCTTATCAGAAAAGTAAAACAGGGTTTAACTATCAGCTGGTTTTTCTGTATTGGTTTTCCTTTTAAGTTTGCAACATGAATAGAAAAACAAAATGACTCATACATGGGGCTGAGAAGGGGCTCAGTGGTAGAGTGCTTGCCTCTCAAGCATGAGGCCCTGGGTTCGATTCCTCAGCACCACATAAACAGAAAAGGCCAGAAGTGGCACTGTGGCTCAAGTGGTAGAGTGCTAGCCTTGAGCTGAAGAGCTCAGGGACAGCTCCCAGGCATAGAGTTCAAGCCTCATGACCGACAAAAAAAAAAGACTCATAGATAGGACTAAAACTAAAAAATTCTTTATGAAATTTTACCTGTCCGTGTATGTCCCCACATACTGTTACTGGTGTTGATACTGGCTGAACATTTGACTCTTCCAACAGAAGGTCACAGACATAATCACATAGCCGCTGCAAGGAGAAAAAATAAAATATAAATTTTAGAATAATATTAAAAGTCTCAGTACAAGAAATACAAGGACTATATTTACAAAAAACACTGTGTGTGCATGCACCCGTATGTGTATATGTATTTTTTTAATTAATTAATTTTTTGCCAGGCTTGAGGCTTGAACTCTGGACCTGGACACTGTCCTTGAGCTCTTCAGCTCAACCACTTGAGCCACAGCACCACTTCCAGTTTTCTGGTGGTTAACTGGAGATAAGAGTCTCCTGGACTTTCCTGCCTGGGCTGGCTTTGAACCACAATCTTCAGATCTCAGCTTCCTGAGTAGCTAGGATTACAGGCATGAGTCACTGGCGCACAGCCTCAGTATATTTTTTGGGGGGTCTGGTAGTGGGGCCTGAACTCTGGGCCTGGGTGCTGTCCCTCAGCTCTTCAGCTCAAGGCTAGCGCTTTACCACTTGAGCCACAGCGCCACTTCTGGATTTTTTCTTTTTGCTTATGTGGTGCTGAGGAATCGAACCCAGGGCCTCACACATGCAAGGCAAGCGCTCTACCACTGAGCCACCTTTCCAGCCCTCAGTATATTTTTTGATAGGAAAGAAAACGGCCCATGATGACACTGGGATTAAATCTCTGTAAGCTTTCTTATACAGTTCATAGTGTAGAAGAATTATGCCAATTGCTTGTACAAAACACAAATCCCGTTTATTGATAACAGATTCTAAATACAGCTTTATAAGGAAATGGAAAATAATACTTTTCACCCAAAAAAGGGGGGTAGTATGAGTAAATAATGTACAGTAAAAATTTTGTTTTGTTTTTGTCATTTTGAGGATTAAACCTAGAACCAGTGAGTTATCCAAGCCTCCTTCCTTTCTTTTTGTATGTACATATGTACGTAAATATGTACGTATGTTTGTATGTATGGCAGAGCTAGGGACTCACACTCACTAGAAGGCCACTGTGCAATACCTCTAGTGCTGTTTTCCCCTAGTTATTTTTAGGATGAGGTATCACTTCCTGCCTAGGTGCCTGCCTAAGCCATGACTACCTCCTATCAGCTTCCATTTGTCCCTGGGACCACAACCAGTTTTGTGCCACTGTGCCCGGCTTCCCTTCCATGGAGTCTTTCTTACTGTCATGACAATGGGATCCTAACAATTTCAGCCTCCCATGTAGCTTGGGATGACAAGTGTGTGCCACTGTACCCAGCTATGGGCTGGAAAAGGGTCTCACTAACTTTTCTGCCCAGGCTGACCTCAAACTATAGCTCGGATTACAGGTGGGCACCATCGATGCTGGGCTTTATGTTTTTATTGAGATAGGATCTCATTAAGTTGCCCATGCTGACATGAAATTTACAAGCCACCTACTTCAGCCTTCTGAGTAACTAAAATTATAGTCATATATTAGAGCAAAGACAGTAACAAGTTGTTTTTTGTTTTTTGTTTTTGGTCTGGGCTTGGGCGCTGTCCCTGGATCTTCAGCTCAAGGCAAGCGCTCCACCGCTTTATCCACACACAGCGCCACTTCCAGTCTTCTAGTTGTTTATTGGAGATAAGAGTCTCATGGCTTTCCTGCCTGGGCTGGCTTTGAACTGCGATCCTCAGATCTCAGCCTCCTGAGTAGCTAGGATTACAGGGGTGAGCCACTGGCACTTGACTTAGTCACAAGTTTTTTTATCTGCTAAGTTAAAATGTAAATTCTAAGCCATATACTTACTATATGACATAAGAGTTGCATTTTTCATTTGCAGGGAAATGGGTGGAGCTAGAAGAAATCATGTTGAGCGAGGTAAGTCAAGAGCAAAGAGACAAACAGTACATAGTCTCCCTGATAAGTGGATGTTAAATCCAAAATGTTAGGTGATACGACAAAATTAACAGGACTTAAGAATCAAAGGACTTCCACTCATCTGGTCGAATCACTACTAAATAACCCTGTGCTGCTGGTCACATGTATGGTATATATGTGCACACCAGAGGGAAACCAGGAGGATGACACAGAACTAAAGGGAATCAGGGAAAAACATACAACAGCAGGACCCATCAGCTGCACTGGACATTGACCAAAATGAACTAAGCAACTCAATGGCAGCGATGGGAGGGAGGGAATGAGTGGGAAAGAGGGAACAGCTGATGCTATGCAAAACAAAAGAAATGTACATACCACCCAATGCGGAAGAAATAACTGTAGCGCAAAGCTCATAGAACTCATAAATATTATAGACCGTGATAGACAGTTTGCTCCAGGAAAGTTATATGTGTTTGTGACTTTAACTGAGCGTCACTATCCCACAATACTGTGAAACTTGGGAAATTATGTAACCACTTAATCACAATAAAAAATTTGAAAAAAAAAGAGTTGCATTTTTTACAATAAAAACTTATGTTCACAAATCTGTGGTATATCCATATAGTGAAAGAATTTTTTTTTTTTTTGACGGTTGTGGAGCTTGAACTCTGGGCTTGGTCGCTGTCCTTGCTCTCTTCAGCTCAAGGCAAGCGCTACACTTCAGCCACAGCACCACTTCCAGTTTCCTACTGGTTTATTGGAAATAAGGGTCTCACGGACTTTCCTGTCCAGGTTGGCTTTGAATGGCGATCCTCAGATCTCAGCCTCCTGAGTAGCTAGAATTATAGGCATGAGCCACTGACGCTAGGCTTGAAAGACTTCTTAATGGGAAAAATAAGCTATTATCACATAACTATCTAAATTAGTTTCAGAGGATTTATGCTGAGTGACCAAAAAATATCCAAAACATATTGCCTGCATTTATACAATTTATTTTTATTTTTTATTTTTTGGTCTGGTCCTGGGGCTTCAACTGAGGATCTAGGTGCTGTTTCTGACTTTTTGTGCTCAAGGCTAGCACTCTACTACTTGAGTCACAGCTGTTTTGGTGATTAATTGGAGTCTCACAGACTTTCCTGCCAAGGCTGGTTTTGAACTGCAATCCTCAGATCTCTGTCTCCTAAGTAGGTAGGATTACAAGAGTGAACTACTGGTGCACTCTTTTTTGTGAAGTAACTAATTATACAAATGAAGAACATCATTTAGATGAAGTATCAGGAAAAATGTAGGTGGGCCTATAAAACGTCATTATGAAGAACTCTGATGATGAAACTGTTATATGCCTAGAACTCAAGATTGAGTAAACCTACAAATTAACAAAATTACACAGAAACTAAAGCTTCTTGTCATCTAAAACCAGCTTGCACCACTGCCAGAGGACTAACTGATTTTCTGACTGCCATGAAAAGTGAAATTAAACAATTATAATGAAATTATTTTAAACATTCATTATGGTATCTCAATGCTACAATATCTTTGCTACACGAGGCACATTTTAGCAGTGCTGATACTTCATACAGAGAGGGAAAGACCAGAACCCTTGATGGGAAGGGGAGAGGGAAAATGGCCTTTATAAGAAAATGATGGGAAAGAGAATTGTTTATTTCATACATATTAGACAACAAATAAAATAGAAAATGTCAGAATAAAGTGGTTTGTTCTTATTCTGGTAAGATTTCAATCTTCTAAACACACATGAAAGACAAGATATTCTTTTTGACCTAATGTCTTTCTGGCCTTGAGCTCCAAAACTCCCAAATGCTTTAACCTGCCCATTCTCTAGCCATATACTATATATCCACCATTCATAACAGGAATGTTTCTGAACTCTGAGCCTGACCTTTATAGTGAACAGTCTCTAAGATTAAGCCAAGCACCAGTGGCTAATCCTAGCTACTCAAGAGGCTGAGATCTGAGGATAATGGTTCAAAGACAGTGCAGGCAAGAAAGTCCATGGGACTCTTTTTTTTTTTTTTTGTCGGCTGTGGGGCTTGAACTCTGGGCTTGGGTACTGTCCCTCAGCTCTTCAGCTCAAGGCGAGCGCTCTACTGCTTGAGCCACAGCGTCATTTCCGGTTTTCTGGTGGTTTATTGGAAATAAGAGTTTCACAGACTTTCCTGCCTGGACTGGCTTTGAACCGCGATCCTCAGATCTCAGCCTCCTGAGTGGCTAGGATGACAGGCATGAGCCACCAGCGCCTGACCTATGGGACTCTTATCTCGAGTTAACCCCAGAAAACCAGAAGTGGTTCTATGGCTCAAAGTGGTAGAGAACTAATCTTGAGTGAAAAAGCTCAGGGACAGCACCCAGGCCGAGTTCTAGACCCATGACTGATCAAAAAAAAGGGTGTTTTGGTTATAAAATTCTGATTTGCATTAAAAAAAACCAAAACACTTCTAGCTAGGCATATGTAGTTCACACCTGTAATCCTAGCTACTCCAGGCTGAGATCTGAGGATTGAAGTTTGAATCCAGCCTGGGTGGGGAAGTCTATGAGACTCTGACCTCCAATTTACCAAGAAAGCTGGAAGTGGAGGGATGATTCAAGTGGCAAAGCTCCATCTTTGAGCAAAAATATATGATTCAGCACCCAGGGCCCTGAGTTTAAGCCCCTGTCCAAGCACAAAAAGAAAAAATAAATAAATGAAAAGTACTTATGCTTCCGGGCACTGGTAGCTCATGCCTGTGATTCTAGCTACTCAGAAGGCTGAGATCTTAGGACTGCAGTTCAAAGCTAACGCAGGAAGAATGTACATAAGACTCCTAACTCCCATTAACCATTTAAACTGAAAGTGGAGTGTGCTAAAGTGGTAGAATGCTAGTCTTGAGCTCAAAAGTTGAGAGACAGTGCCCGGGCCCTGAGTTCAAGCCTCAGAATCAGGATGAGGGGGTGAAAAACAAAAACAAAAACCCATATGCTATCATGGTCAGTGGCTCATGTCTAATCGTAGCTAATCAGGAGACTGAGGATTGAGGTTCAAAGTCAGTCAGGGCAGACAAATCCAAGAAACTCTTTATCTCCAACAAGCAAAAAGCTGGAAAGAGATGTGAGTGCCAGCCTTGAGCAAAAAAGCTAAGTTCAAGGTCCTGAGTTTAAATTCCAGTATCAGCGCATGTGTGCACATACATAAACACACCCAGAACCAAAAACT